CTTTATATGGTATAACTGTAGATGACTTATATTCTCTCTTATTTATGTTACTATTACTAGTTTGACAATTCTTTTTAATTTTATTTTAGCCTTTTTCAATCTTCCTAATGAATTTTAAAAGATAGTTATTTAGCACCAACGCCTCTTCTATCTGTTTTATTTCATCATTTAAGTCTTTTTTGTGCTACTTAGTGCTACTGCTCGGTTTGTTAGACACTTAACTCAGCCACCTGCCTTCACAGACAGTTTACGGATGAGATGAATTAAAGTCTAAATATCTATTAGAATGCGTTAGTTTTCTATAAACACTAGTGTGTAATTTGCCTTCTTCTATTCGTTTTGTTTTACAATCTAACATAGCTAATTCTCCGTGCTCATTTTCGGTTTCAAATGTGAATTTTATTCCCTCTACTGGTGAGTTTATATGTGTCAAGAAGCTAGACAGGGATATGTTCTGTTTTTAACACTGTGAAAGTGTCATCCACATATCTCCACCATATTTTTGGAGTAGGATTAAACGTATTAAGTGCCATATTTTCCCAGCTATCCATAAATATATCTGCTACGATAGGGGATATTGGTGATCCCATTGCTACACCTTCAGTTTGTCTTTATATTTTGCCTTGGAATTTAAAGATAGTAGATGTGAGACACAACTGAACTCCTAAAATCATTTCTTCTTCGTCCTATAAGTTAGTTCAGGGTCTGAAGTTAATTCTTTTTTAACTGCTCCCAAGGCCATATTTATTGGTATGTTAGTATAAAGACTGGTTATATCAAAACTAACCATTGTTTCATCATTTTCTAGTTGAATGTCATTTAGTTTATTTTTCATCTCAAATGAATTAGCTAGTCTCGAGTTTGAGCGATTTTTAATGGGGCATATTATTAGAGCTAAGTGTTTTGATAATTCATAAGTAGGAGTATTCCTAAAATCTACTATTGGTCGTATGGGGTACCCTGGTTTATGTATCTTAGTAGTACCATATATTCTACTAGCATTTATGAATAAGGACGAAGAGTAAATACGCCAAGTCGAATTCACAATTTACACCGATCAAAGTGAAATTGAATCACACTTTCCTTTGGAAACCGAAATAATTCAGACCACAGCATGTCACCTGTATATTAATGTAAATGGCAATCAAGAAGGAGGGGATAAATTCCTGACGTTATATATTACTGACTGCTCTAAATGAGTAGTTAGATACCACTCGCATGAACCCACAGTAATTACTACCCAACCAGATAGAAGTTATCTAAACACCAACGGATGACAATTTCGCATGTCTGTGGCCAGGTTTATCGGGGCAGAAAGTCTACTCAGAGCTATCTGATGTTATTTTTGGTTCTTTTGTTAATATGGATTCATAATGCCAGTCACTTTGACACAGTTTAGTCGCATTTTTTTGAATTTCCTGTTGCTTGTTCACCTTTAACCTAAATGACTGAAATGACGGATATTTTATTAGTGTCTTTTATTGCTAAGTATTGACTACCAGTGTAGTCCGGGATGAGCGTGTTACATCAAGGATCGATCATGGAACCCTCAGGTTATATGTCGTAAGCATTTTATCATTTCTATTCTAAGTTATAGTCAGGCAGAATATGTCACACAAGCTTTTATTGTTAGCCATAAAATCATGATTCATGCCTGTACTTACATGACAACCTTACTGGTCAGTTTTGACTCGTTTATTTACGGCTTGATTTTCTGTGGTTTCGTGAATATGAGATACCGAGTATTTTGTCTAACGAAATGGTGTGAGATAATTTCGAGTGTTGTCTAATTCCAATTCGACGGGCGTCTATTCCGTCAAGTTGATCGTGTCGTAATGCGAATCCCTTTGGGACCACTTTTCGCGGACTCGTTCTTGTCAGGCCGAGAAGCCAGTACCTTGCAGCAACATATACAAGAAACGGGTGTATACCTAAGATATGTTGATGACATTTTTATTGTCTGTGGAAGCAAATCAAATGCTAAAGACATGTTGATAAAATTCAACTCATGCCATCCAAATCTCAATTTCACAATAGAACATGAGGAAAACCATACTATCATTTACCTAGACATTTTTCTAGCGAAAATGACTGGTGGCACAATCGAAAGATCTATATTTAGAAAGTCTTCATGGACAGGACAGTACATGCATTTCAAGAGCTTTGTTCCAATCCAGTATAAAAAGATCTTAGTCAGAACACTGTTCAATAAAGCACGGAAAATTTCTTCTGACAGTACAATTGAGCATGAAATAAAAGCTCTGAAGGATATTTTATCTAAGAATGGATATCCTGAGAGGTTCATTGATAAATAATCCAAAGAAATTAGCCTCTGCAAAACTATCCAAACAGTTCCGAAGAAACCTGTCTATATAAGTTTGCCGTCCAAAGGAGATGATGTACAGGAAGTAGTCAAACGAAGACTCGATAAAGCTGTCAAGAGAACTTATTATGCAGTAAAACTTGTTATCCTTAACACCACTAAGCGAGTGCTTCAACAATCTGGGAAAGACCAGTCTCCAATCCTCGACACTTCAAACTGCGTATATCAATTTGATGAGTGTGTTTGTGGAAGCAAATACATAGGTCGTACAGAAAGGCGATTGTTTACTCGCATGATGGAGCATTTACCAATATGGTTGAAAACAGCTGAGTACAAAGTGCCAAAATCCTCAATAAAAAAACATCGTGTGGACCATAAACATGATATCAACGCTGTGGAGTCATTCACTGTTATTGTCAGCAGACACAGAAACAAGAAGATGCTTGCAATTGCAGAGGCGTGTGCAATTCGAGTTTATAAACCAGGACCTGTGTACAAAAGGAGATGAAGGTAATTCTGAATCTACCATGGCAATACGTTTTACTTATTATTCTACCTCTTATTATTATTACCATTATTATTATTCTTGATTCATTTAAAACTATCCTTTATCAGTGGGATTATCTTAACTCACTTCAACACTATTATTATTATTGTTATTAATGACCATTACTATTGATATTACTCTGTTTGCAATTCTTGTTATATTCTCTAATGACTAATTGTTCATCTAAGTGATGTAATTGAAGCGTTATGCATTTTATCTTAATTTTGATCTCTCATACTCTCTCTCTCCTTATCTGTTTGAACATGACCTGGAAAACATTCGCACGTGTCTTTCTGAATGACTAATTCAATGCAGTTTATTTACTTATCAGTCCTATATCTCTCAATGTAATTTCAATAGTATATATGCGTGTATGTAGAGTATTCAGCTGACGAGTTTTGCCGAAATTTGATGAAATCAATAAATCCTGCTTTAGTAACCTTTATTGCTTGTTTCAAATTCGAGTGATCATTTAGTTAAAGCATCATTTTCTGGAGGCTTATTCCAGTCAAGTTAGAGGAACCCATGACCGAATAACACTCAGTGATAGCATAAAACTCAACATGAGATGCACTTCCCAAATTCAAAGTGGGTTAACAATTAGTTAATCCATGGAAACCTTTAGATAACCTGCATTAAACTGGCTTTCCAAAATGTGCAAAAATATGAATTTATAGAAAAAGTTTTTTAGAAATACATTAAAAAATTATTGTAATTATGATGGGCCTACTGAGGGGATTTCGTTCGGCTGGTCAGCTTTAATCAACTCAGAAATTGAGTTTTCCACACATTCATGAGAATCTGCTGTTTCTGAGGTCAAACAAATCGATTGTAGGAACAACTGCCTAGCAGAAATGATATTCATTAATGGCAGATTATATGTTACATTATGTGTTACAAATTGTCAGAAGCGAGTGGTTGAAAGTCAGTCTATTGTCTGAATAATAAGATTTTTGGATTTTCATCATGAGCTGACATTAGTTAGAGAACCATTGGAAAACCTGCAGGGAGTACTGGACAGCTGTTTCGTCCTAGTTTGGGACTCTTCTGCAGCACGCATCCACCGGGATACGAACCCAGGACCTTCTGGTTACAAGGCGAGCACGTATACCATTAAGCCACTGGGACCCGATCCAATGGTCCATGAATTCTAACTTCTGCCAATTCACGACATAGCGCGACCCCTAGTCAATGTCTTCGACGAGTATTTGTCCTCACACCCGACCTGCTGCACCCTACTGGTCACGACGTCTCACTAGAATCCCAGGTAACTACCTACCTGAATAGGGCAAGTCGCTAGTGAGCATCTCATTGATATTCAAGTGTTGGTTTGTAGGGATTCGATTGGTAGAAGTTAGAATTCATGGACCATTGGATCGGGTCCCAGTGGCTTAATGGTATACGTGCTCGCCTTGTAACCAGAAGGTCCTGGGTTCGTATCCCGGTGAGTGCGTACTGCCGAAGAGTCCCAAACTAGGACGAAACAGCTGTCCAGTACTCACAGCTGGTTTTCCAATGGTTCTCTAACTAATGTCAGCTCATGATGAAAATCCTGAAACCAACCAAATCCCTACAAACCAACACTTGAATAAGATTTTTGCCAACAAACCTGAATGTTTCTTCAGTATGTTCCTTAGTTTTGTTTGGAATGTCGTCATCCTGCAAGTAATACTGTGTGGCATATTCAGTTGACAGATTATTATGGGACTGCATAATAATACAATGTTCGAGTTGTACATATTTATTAGGATGAATCAAATTTCCAGGAATGCTTGGTTTACAGTGATTTTCCGTTTGCATTGAATCTCATCTTACAACTTAATTGCTTCCACTATTTGAAGAACGGAGTGCAAATTTTCTAAATTCAGTGATTTCGAAAAGTCTTGAATAGAAAAATGGTTATAATTTTTAGTATCACTGGCCTACCGCAACAATCCAACTCATGAATTTCAAACGAGGCAAGAACCACAAAGGGTAAGTTCTGACGACCAATGACTATGACTCCAAATACAGTCATGATAATGACTAAGAAACTGTGTTATTTTTAAATCATGCAGAGCAAAGAACAACTGAATATCATCAATTTCACCTGTCTTTCTTTTCTCTCATATTTTTTTTCACTTACTGCAGTTTATTATTCAAAAAGGTTCTAAAGGGTTTGGATTCACTTTATGCGGCAATTGTCCTGTTTATGTTAGTCATGTTGAACCTGGTTCCCCAGCAATGAAGTGTGGAATACAAGCTGGAGATTTTATCGTTGCTATTGACAATTTGAACGTATCAAGATCTACAAGTGACAGTGTTGTACGTATGTTTAGGTAAGTGATAAAATGAAAGTAATATGCACTTTGTCATGTCCTTATCGAAAGAAAGCCAATGCTTCTCAATACAGCTTATTAAGAGTGACTTTTTGTTTTGAAATAATAGAGAAGATTTGCCACTCAGATGAACACTTTTGACGAGATACTGTTCTGTTAGCTGAGGGGGTGAGTGTTTGACTGAGAAGCTTTCATACTCCTTTCAAACAACATCTTCAGCTCAAGCTTCACTTCATCTGGTTTTCCGCAAACCTCTTTAGCATGCTGCATAATTGAGCATAAGCCTTCATCTCCTCTTTACATCATCTACTCAGTGGCAACCTCGTATCAACGTCCAACTCGTCGTTGGGAGTTTAGGTTCCACTTGGATAACGTGGTGTGTGATGTTGGTCAGTGGATTCCTCAGTGCAAGCTCGGGTCATCTCCATTTCTTTCGACATATTTGTTGGGCAATATGTTTTTAGTTAGTTTGTCGCCTGATACAGGCGTTGTCTCAGGCTGAGATTACTTGAAATACATCCATCTAGTATATGTGATTTTGCATAGATGCAAAAACTAAAAATTGGCTTTAACATGTCCTAACTTCAGTTCTCAGCCCTACTAGCTGTGTAAAGACAATAAAAGAGAGCATTATAAAGGCTGAGTTGAGTTCATAATCCAGAGCTATGTTCAAATTCCTGATGGGAATAAACAACACATACACTAATAATGACTCTCCAAAACAATAAAAAAATATCCACACGGAACATTTGCATAAAGAAATTGTATATATATATATATATAATTTTTTACGTTTCCAATGGAACACAGGGCTCCAAGTGGGAGACTTTAAGTTCCGGTAGCAGTGGTGTTTAATGTTACGGGATGGGGTTGCTAGCCTCATGCCCAACCTTGCCCTTTTACCAGTCTTGTTACTAGCTTATAGTGAGGTAAAGGAATGCGTCTGTGGCCGGGGATCGAACTCCGAACCACCTATGTGGTCGGTCAGTATTCTACTGCTGTGCCACCGACGCACATATACATATTTATCTTTGAAAGAAACCTAAGTGTGAACATGCATTCTTTCAGCACGCAGTATAGTGCAGGTGCTACAAGTAAGTTTAATGCCACCCATGCCTTACTATTTAGTCATTAATTTCTCTTAATTCTGATGACGGAGTGAAAACCAGGGACTGTTCAGCAGTATACACTCAAGATCTTCTGTTTACAAGGCAGACTTAGAGGCTATTCAGCCACTGACATCTCATCCCAAGGCCCATGAATTCCAACTTCTACCGTTTCGCGATTTCAGCGTGACCATCAGCGTACTGCTAAGGAGTCCTAAACCTTGTTTTCACTCTTTGACTGAACCTCAAAGAAATCAAATCCGTACAGACTAACACTCAAAAATTAAGTTAGTGGTCACTAGTGAATGGCTACAGGATGAAACTGCCTTCAGTTCTAGTGCGAAGTCGTGACCAATGGTGTCCACCAGGTCGGGTGTGAAGACAGATACTCGACCACAACACTGGCTGGTGGTCCTGCTACAATCACTGACCGGTAGAAGTTGGAATTCCTGAGAGTCAAGGGGGTTCCTCGCAGTGTTTGAATACTCTATAAGCTTGATTTGTTACCTTGAAGCTCGTGAGTTCGAACGCCGGTGGATGCATACTGCTGAGTAGTCGCAAACTAGGACGAAGCAGCTGTCCATTACTCCCTGATAGCATCCTATGTTCCTTTAAACGAGTAGAATCCCTACTCTTGATTAATAATTTTTCCCTAATATGTTTCCAATGTTTTCAGAATGTCTCAGCATCCAGTTCACATTACTATATCACGTCCAGTTATAATGAAGTCCAATTTATCTACGCTGAATAATGCACCATCAACTAGTGGAAAATCTTTAAGCAGCTTTATAAATAAAAGTTGTTTCTCTGCACTTAAAAAGTCTTCTAGTGAATCGACAAAGTTAACTCAACTCACTAATATACTGAATTTAAATCAAACAGTGTCTCCACCTTCTCCAGGGAATCCTCAACACCATTACTACTATCAACAGCACCAACCACTTCAGTTAGAGGCAACATCTTTATCGTCAACAACAACCCCATTGCAAAACTGTTGTCCTTCCATCGACCAATCAGCAGTCAGATTATCTGGTTGCCTTACATCTCCGAATTTATTACGTCAGTCAAATTCGCTTAATTGTTCATCATCAATGAGTAATATCAACAATAATTGCACAACAGGGGAATTTACAGCCTCACAAACTACTTCTCCTTTACATCAAACAATGACGAACAAGTGTTTTGTAAGGACAGACTTAAACAATTTGCAAACTGATCTACAATTGGCTAGTACTCTATCATATCCACCACTTTCTTCCATCCCTGTTTACCATTTTCATCAGAAGCAGCAACAAAATCCTTTTCATGGGCAACTGCAGCAGCAGCAGCAGCGACAACAACTACAGAAGAAGGTGAATAGTCCCAGTAAGGTGACTGAAAGTGAAACTTCGTGTAGTGATAAAGTAAGCTGGCATCGATTTATGCCCTGTTATTCGAAAGTTTTTTACCCATTTCATCACCATGTTTGTTAATATTATTATTATTATCGAAACAAAAACTTGATACATCACGAGCACCGAGAAATGTGCCGAACCAAATCTCATTGTTTGTCCAACAGTTGGGTTACTGCCCGGATAGCCAGGCCGAAGTACGTGGTTGCCTTAAGGTCCAACCCCACCCAAGGCTTCGACCTGAAATCAGGAGTTATGTTCCCATGGTTGACGGTAACGAAAACATGACATTCGATCCTTTCGTTTTTGAGAGCCTATGTAAACCATCATATGTTCGGAACCAGGTTTCTCAGCTCTTCTAGGTGGATCTGTATATCCACCAGTTCTGATGTAAGCTCCAGACGCTGGCAATCACCCTTTCGCTTTTGTGACGAACACTTCAACGCGCGAAGGCTGCATTTACTGTACTCATTTTCACGATAGAAGTGAATGGACAGTGATTCACCTTCCATATGAATGACAAATTAATAATAATAATACAGGAATTAGCCACTTAATACATGACGCTTAACATCTGGATATGAAGGATAAAATAAATATTATGAAATATGTCGGAATAAAAAATAAACGAAGTCATATGAGCTAAAAGATTCAAATTAATTTAAAGATTGATCACGAACAACCGGAACTCTTCGACAGCAAGCATCCATTACCGCACCAAGGATTAAACCATGGAACTCCAAGTACCAAGGCGACCTCCTACACTATTCGGCGGCTTAGAGGGAATCCTGTGAATTCTGACTTCTGAAAGTTGATGGTATATTATTATTATCATTGTTCCTTTGGGTTCCTAGTGGAATATAGGGCTTCAACTGCACGTCTCCACTTGCTTCTATCTTCTGCTGTACTTTTCACCTGCATCCATGTTATTCCATACTGTGTCAACTCCTCTTCATACGATCTCCTCCATATCACCCTTGGTCGTCACACTCACCACTTCCCTTTTGAGTTCCACTCGAGCACTGGCCTGACGTGCGATGTCACCCAGCGGCCTCTTCAGCGAGTGTTCAATTCATCTCCACTTTCTCCTGCATATTTGTTGGCCGATTGGTTCTTGTTTCGTTTCTTCCCATAGTTTCTTGTTGGTTCTTGTTCTTTGCGGCCATCTGATCTTCAGTATAGAGCCAGCGAAGACAGTTGTTGATAAAGGTGTGCAACAGGCTGTTGGAAATATTCTTTGTGACCCGCCAAGTTTCTGATCCGTACGTATAGAAGAACTGACTGACTTGACGTTTGTATTGAAAATCCGAATATGTTGTTGAGTGTTGCTGAGTGGCGAAGATTTCCAGATTGGTTTCAGGTTGATGAATGTGTTTCTTGTCTTCCCGATTCTCGATTTGACATCCTCGTGCGTTCCTCCTGTAGTTGAGATAGTGCTCCCTAGATAAGTGAGTGAATGAAGTAACCTCTTTCAAATCCCTCCCGTTGATGGTGATTGGCGCTAGATGTTGCTGATGCTGTTTTTGTTGTTGGTTGGTTATTTTCATAACCTCCGTTTTGTCTATCTGTGTTCACCTGGAGTCCTGTCTTTGCTGCCAGCCTCTTCGACCAGTTTGTCGGTTTTCGCTTGTAAGTCTTCGATTTTGTGTGACATCAAACATAAATCATCCACGAAATCCAGGTCTTCTAGATTTTCACGTCTGTCCAGGATATTCCTGTCTTCTCGTTTACCACTGTCTGACGCATAGTGCAGTCCATCACAACTAGGAATATCATTTGTGATAATAAGCACCCTGGTCTGACTCCTGTGTTTACTCCAAACGCCTCGCTGAGTTTTCTATTGTGGATCACTTGACATGTGCCGTTGTCGTATGGCTGTTGATTAAGGTTGATGAATATTTGAGGTACGCTGTACTACTCGAGTAGTTTCCAAATTACTTCGCGGTCAACGCTTTGAAGGCCTTCTCAAAGTCTATAAAGATGAGGTAGAGGTTTGATTGCCATTCCATGCTTTATTCGATGATGATGCGTAGAGTTGCAATTTGGTCAGAACATGATTTGCCTTTCCTGAATCCAGCTTGTTCTGGTTGGAGTTCTGTATCCAGTGCGTCCTTTATTCTCTCCAGGATGATGCGACTCAGGATTTTACTTGGCGTCAACAGGTATATATGTGAATAAAATGTTTGAGCATTGTGGAACAAATCAAATAAATGGTAATTACATTTCAGTAGTTTACATACCATGATAAGTTCTTGTTTTTTGGTAATGTTACGATCAAAATTACTAACCCTTTTCACATCAACTGTTGGAATTTCACTCGAAATATGCATACATAATCAATGTCAGCTATTTCAAGAGAAAGAATTTAATACTCTCATTGATTAAATTGCATATGAGCTATGGCCTTTCATTTAACGTCTGCAGTGCTCACGTGGTGCAGTATTACCGAACGCAGCCCTCTGAAGGTAACAGCTGACAGATACTTTGAGGTTTTGCAAATTTATTCTCACACTCTACACTTAATAGTTGCAATATAGTGTTTTTTTCGTAGAATATTTGACACATAATGACAAATGTGCTTATTTAATAGCGTTCCCAGTCGTGTAGGTTGCTAAAAGTTCCACAAATATCTTTTTTTCATTTCTTTGCATGCCCTGTTGGAAGCTTAGGATTCAAGCTTCAGCTATGAAGTTCCAGTAACAGTGAAGAATTTCAGGGGATGGAGTTGCTAGTCTCAAAACCAGCCTCCCTTCTTTACCTGATTTATTACCAGCTAAGCGAGGTTTAAGATTACGTCAGCTGGGAATCAAACCCAAAACACATGCGTGGATCATTGAACCACTCCCGCACAACACAGTATTACACCAATATTCCAATTTCGATATGAATCATGTTAACTGTATTTTTTCGCCTTTCAAAATCCATTATTTTAAGTTCCTGGGGAATTATTAAGTTATTTCTTAAGGATGGTATAATTTATCGGAGGTCTGATAAGAATTTACAGCTCTCAGATAGTTTTCTTTTTGCTCACCCATCACAATGAATATAATACAAAAAAACGGGAGACCCTAGGCTAGATTTACATAAGAACTCAAAAAATTTGCGACTCGACCTTATCAGAAAAAGCGGATGTGTTCTTATACAGCAAAACTTTTTTTTCAGTTATTTCCAGCTGATTTGAAATGTGGTGTCAATAGGCTTCAAACTACACAAAAAATACAAAAATCGATAGCACCTATTTCATTGTTGAGGTTATATAATGAACATATATTTTCATAAGGTAACCTACTTCTTTGGAAAATTAACTAGAATTAAAGCTCGTTCAATTTCAACTGGTGGATAGTGTCTAACAGCGAAATCCAGCATGCACATTTCATCCCGTTTGGGACTCATCAGTGGATATACCTGCAATCTCCGGTGCATGATAGTGTCCCCATTAGGACTCGAATCTATCACTCATCATTTTAAAAGCCAAAACGTTGCCCACCAGACTAACTGGATCACAGGAGCTACCTCTTGTGTAACAAGAATAGGTCATTATTTTATTTTTGTTTCTCCCGTTGAACCCATATGCCAGCATAATAGAATCAGTCAAAGAGCAAAAAGGGGACCGGGTTAGCGAAAGAAAACAGTGTTCAATTTGGTTCAGAAATGATGATTATTTATGAAATAGATTTATTACTTCAGTCATCCTGATATTTCATGAAAAAAATTATTATTCAAAAATTACTCCCTATTTGTTGTGTCCCAACTCAGCACTTTTCATACAGGGTGTGATAGTGAGTTTTGTCCTAATTTTTAAAGGCCTGTTCTGTTGAAGAGTACGAAGGTAGAGTAGAACACCTTCCTAATATTCCTAAAATTCACAATGAGTCATCATCTAATTTCTCTTTTTGTGTAATGAAAAAAGGCGCCATCTAAGTTGCGGTAAATTATTATTAGTTTTTTTTGACAGATAACTCTTGAATTAATAGTTTTATGAGTGAAATTGAGCCGATAGTTAGTACATTGAGATTATCTCTGCATTCATTGGTTTATATTGGATAGATTACCAGACAGTGAAACAGTATTGTAACAACAGAAGACAAGATACGGAAGCCAAGGTATATTTTCAACTGATCAAACCGCTATTTATATATATCTACAGTTTATATTCTTTGAGCAATCACTGAACTTGTGCTTTCGGTTTACATTAAACGACATGAAATAGAATGTTCAAATGTATGCATAGTATTCTGTTGCTAATTCAGTATTGAACTGTATGGGAATATGTGAAAATAATATTCCCTTGGAACACATTGTCTGTATCACACCACCACAGTATTATTTACTGGATGACGTTTTGAACAATATCTTTTGTTGCCAGTCATATCAACTGCAACTACACGACTTCAAAACTTGATTTCTATTGTTCTCTTTCTGCCTTACCATTTGCTACTGGAGTTATAGATTTGTTCGAATCTCTGCGATAGGTGCTAAGTTATTCCTATTGCACATGTTCTCAGATGATTCGATAGATTAAGCTTCAGTTAACATTGTTTCTCGCCCCTCTTTCGGATATTTAATACCCTGCAATGATGGTGAGGTCAAATATGTAGGCCAAAGCAGTAGATTCAGGTCAGCCAGACTAGCAAGGCACAAAATCCGAGCAAAATCTAGATTAGTTGACTCTAACAAGATAAGAAATATGGAGGATAGTTCACCTAAAACACTACATGCCAATACACACAAGCATACAATAGGATGGGATAAGATGACAGTTTCAAAGTCCAATGTTACAGGACGGAGGGAGAAACTGATAACGGAAGCTTCATTTATCGAATCAACTGAGAAAACGTGTAGTAGGAATGAGTCAACACCTGTCCAGATATCTGGGAAATTCTTCTACCCCCAGGTTGAACGTGGAGTAAGAATGAGGACTTTTAAAAAATAAAATTTCGAAGTTGTTTAATTACAAGTTATCATATGATTATGAAAAATAATGGAGTACAATCGAAATTTCGTCACCCGGT